GGCTGCGATCTGCGAAGCTGTTGCCACTTTCGAGGGCTGCGGGTGGGCTCGCCACTTTCGAGGGCTGTTGGTCGGTCCAGCGGAGTGAGGCACTGCGCAGACCTGAGCGGGACTTTGCCGTCCTTGGGGGCCATGTCATGTTGTTGTTGCCCTGCCGACGTTTCAAGCCCCTTGCCCACCGTATCCTGTTGGACCTTGCGTCTTCCTTAGTGACTTAGGGGTTCACTTAGTTACTCATCGCGCTTCCCTTGATTGGGGATCTGCGAACCTTCCAAATGCCGCTCGCAGAAGTATATGCGTCCATGTCACGTCGCCGCCTTCTCGTCAAATCTCCCAAGCTACTCCTGTCCCGCATTGCGCAGGGGTTGGGTACATCGCCAGGGTAAGTTAGGTTCTTAAGTTGAAATGCTTGTAATCACAGTGTGTTTGGTAGGAATTTGGCATGAGCGCGCGCGTGTGCACTTTGTGGTATGGTTTGCAAGGGATGACCGCCGTGGGCGGCAGGACGTCAATGTTGAGAGGGAAAATGGCGAAGCGTGTTGATTTTGTATGGTTTTGCAGGTTCGGATGGGACGTCCCGCATGGGGCGGCCATCGTATCGGCTGGGGAGAGGGGGGAATAGGAGTATATTCTAACCAGGAATAAGGATCGGAGGAGGAGGGGGAGGCGGAGGAGGAGGAGGAGGAGGAGGAGGAGGAGGAGGAGGAGGAGGAGGATTTGGAAGGGAGCATGATCATGATGAGGCAGGAGGGGGGAGGAGGAAGACGAAGAGGAGGAGGAGGAGGAGGAGGAGGAGGAAGGCCAGGAGGAACAACAGGAGGGAGGGGAAGGAGGGGAAGGGGCAAGATGACCAGGTCAAATGAGGGAGGAGGAGTGAGGAGGGCGAAGAGGAGGAGTGGGCGGAGGATGAGCATGAGGAGAAGGAGTAAGAGGAGGATAAGGGCCAGTGCTGACCCACGATTCATCAACGATGTTGCAATGGACCCTCACTCCAAGTTCCATCTTCACACACTCCTGCAAGGATTCTTCCACTGCTGGAAATGTCCCGCTGGAAAGGAGCACATATTAATTGTTCGGCCATGCCACAACAGATGTGGGCATGTGGGACGTCAATCATAAGAACCCTTGACACCGCCGTAAACTGTTGAGACGACTCTGCGCGGTGCTGAGGAGAGAGTCACAAGTTGAAAATGAACCGTCCTCCATCCGTGAAGCCCTTGCAAGTGTTGCAGAGTAATACGCGCGGCAGTCAGGCGAGAGCCACATTTTGAAAACGGCACGCCCTCCATCCGCGAAGCCCTTGCGAACGTTCTACACAAATGTGCGCGGCGCTCAGGCAAGAGCCACAGTTTGAAAACTGCCAGCCCTCCACCCGTGAAGCTCACGCACACGTTTTAAAACTCGTGTGCGCAGCGCTGAGGCGAGAGCCGCATTTGGAAAACCACCCGCCCTCCATCCGTGAAACTGCTGCAAATTACCAGTTTCAGGATCATGCATGGTGCGGAAGTCTCAGGCGGAACGCCGGGCCCGCCGTGCCGACCCGTCTCGGGATGCGACAGGGACGAGTTATTTCTAACAGAGAGGGATGGAGCGGTGAGGCACGAGGGAGGAGTGCGGAGGACAGGAAGGAGGCGGGAAGAAGAAAGTCTAGTTATTCTGGGGAAGTGGAGGAGGTGGAGGGATGACGGACCCAGAGGTTCGACGGCGTTTTTTGTTGTTTCGGGGTCCCGGGTCGTCTTTTCCCGATTTGATCGTAGTTAAGAGGGACTTTTTCGCCAGAGTGTTTTTGTGTGCGGGCCCTCGATGGGGTCTCCCGATCGCTGATGGTGGTGCGATAGCGACGGCCAGCGCGCTTGGCATTTGCCCTCCCGCGCCCCCCGAAAGCCGTGCGCAAAAGACCACTGCAGCGAAGGGTCACTTCCAGGCCTCCGATGTACTCGTGTGTTCCTGGGGAGGAGAGGGAGGGAGAGAGGGTGGAAGAGAGGAGAGCGGGAGAAAGAGGGAGGAAGAGGGGGGAGGAGGAGGAGGAGGAGGAGGAGGAGGAGGAGGAGGATGCGGGGGAGGATGACACCGTTCTCCTTCCTCCTCCATGCTCCACCCATCCTTCAATGAGCGGCCCCAGAAGTTCGGGGTTCGGGCCAATTTCTCGGGGGTAGTTCTCCCGTCTGGGAACCATGGTTGATGGCCCGGAGGCCCGATTATGGGCCCCAGGGGCCGAAATCGACGAACAAAAATTGTTGAAATCATCATATCGTTGGGGATCTGGGTACCTCTTTCCTTCCAACTCCTCCGCCTTGTCCCCCCTCTCGGGAAACATCCCCCCCGAGCACGGTTTTGACTTGTGGGCCGCCCCCCCCGCGCCCTGGTTTTCCCTCTGGAGGGTTGCGAGGGGGCCCGCATGGTGCTCCCACCTACGCCAGCGAGTGGCACAGTGCCAGCCATACAGGTATCCCGCTCAGCGATGTCATGTTGGCCCCGAAGTTATAAATGGAGGACCCCCCGCGTCTTCTCTCAGGGCAAAGGATCTAGGCCTCCTAGATGGGGTCGGAGTAGATGGGGTCGGAGGATCGCGCCGCATCGCCGATGCATCGCCGATGCGGCTCGATGCTCCCGATGACGTCGCCGATGCGTCGCCGACGTCGCCGACGCATCGCCGGTGCATCGCCGATGCATCGCCGATGCATCGGCGATGCATTGGCGATGCGGCGCGATCCTTCGACCCCCTCTACTCGGACCCTTTCTAGGAGGCCTCTCTAGGAACAGCGCTCCCAGCGGCGAAAGTTTACTTGTTTCTCCCCCCCGCGGCTGCGTCGCCTGCGGCTCTGCGGCATGTCAGTCTCTATTGCCTGCTTTGATTCGCGTGGTGCAGAGAGACGCGGCTCCAGCGACCTTGGGCCGCCCAAGCATGTATTGTTCTTGCCCCCCCCCTCCTCCTCCTCCTCCTCCTCCTCCTCCTCCTCCTCCTCCTCCTCCTCCTCCTCCCCTCCTCCTCCTCCTCCTCCTCCTCCTCCTCCTCCTCCTCCCTCCTCCTCCTCCTCCTCCTCCTCCTCCTCCTCCCCCTCCTCCCCTTCCTCCTCCTCCTCCTCCCTCCTCCTCCTCCTCCTCCTCCTCCTCCTCCTCCTCCTCCTCCTCCTCCTCGGTTTATGTGTTATAGCTCTGGGGCTCTCACTAGGGCATTCGGGTAACCCCGTGCCCCAGATAAGAAAGGATGCCCCACCCTTCCCCCTTTAAGCTTGATTATCCCAGGCCAAGACAGAGTTCGTCGGGGGAGAGGGGTGACGAGGCCGCCGAACTTCAGAATCGCCAGGGAAAGTACGAATGGGACGTATTAATCTTCCGATGCTGAGTAGCAGCAGTACCGCGAACATGTGGCAGGGCTATGGGATCCACATCCGTACATGCGAGTTCCGAGCCCGCCCGTAGAAAGCATCCCATCCCTACCTCCGTACATACGAGCTGCCGGGACGAGACATTGATGATAGCTCCGAACCCCGAATTTTAGTATCCCCCGGGATTATTATCGGGGGCACGGGGTTAGTCAGTCGTTATCATGCATTTCTCGTCGCCCAGAAATCTGCGATGTAGGGTATGGTCGGCGTTGGAAATGTTGCGTCGTCGGCACGCTTGTTACACGCCGTCCGCTATCCCTCACCTTGGGTGTAGCGTGCACAGAAAAGGTCACACGTAGCCTCGCAGGGACAGCCTCACAGAAGAAGCCCTCGTGGGAGGATCGCCTCGCAGGGATGACGTGCTTCTCGGAGATCGATGCTGCACTGTATCTCTCCAACGCCAACCGTAGTCAGTCGGAGTCCCGCACTTCTCCTCGCCCAGGAGGAGGAGGAGGAGGAGGAGGAGGCGGAGGATGAGGAGGAGGAAGATGATGGGGGAGGGGGAGGGGGAGGAGGAGAAGACGGAGGAGGAGGAGGAGGAGGAGGAGGGGGAGGAGGAGGAGGAGAAATGAGGAGGAGGAGGAGGAGGAGGGGAGGAGGAGAAATGAGGAGGAGGAGGAGGAGGAGGAGGAGGAGTTGGCGAGGACTTGCTTGCTTGCCTGCGTCTCCTCATTCTTCCTCCCCTCCGCCCGCGGGCGCCCGCGAACCCAGGCCGCCCACCTCGTGGAGTCCCGTCGAGCCCCACCCCGTCAAGTCACACCCGGTCAAGTCTTAAGTCGGGCGTGTCCCTCTACAAGGGGGGAATATTCAAAAATAGTCAAAACAATTATCTGGGGACTGTTGTTTGAGTATTCGTTGACCATTTGGGGGGTATCTGTTTGACTACTCATTCTGTTTCTTCCAAAATCCCCCTGTGGGAGGACAGGCCCGATATCAGTCAGGTCCCGCGGTCGATCAAGTCCCACCCGAGTGGCAGTTCGCCTCGCTTCTCTTGCTCAGTCCAATGCCCTCAACGCACAGTTCTTGGGCTCGCAGGTCTGCCCTGTCAGATCAAGGGTAACTCTGTGTCCGGTGTTCAATGGCCCATGCCTCCTACAGTATTGGGGCAGTATGGCTCTCGGAAGGGACATGTGTCCTCTCGCGTGTCCTCTCCAGTCAAACTCGATTCTACACCCATCAGGAGACTTAAGAGACAGAATGTTCATGGGCTCCAGGCTTCGCTTGAGGAAATCAAGAACCTTGACTGGACCCTGGGCGTTTTCGTGGATCTACTTGTTTCGTAGAGTTCTCACAAGTCTGGACTGGCCTACTCTCCAAGAACACGCCTCGAGAGAAGTCCACTCTCTCAGCCTAACTCTGCTTAGTCTCTAGGCAGGGGTGTAAGCAGTTGTGGAGTCCTGCACTTCTCGTTGCCTTGGCATCGTTCGGACGTGTGCATTTTTCCTTCGGCGAGAACCATGGAGGAGCATCCTTGATCATTGGGCGAGAAAACTACGCACGAAACACAGGGAATGGACGTCCGAGCGATGGCGAGTTGCCCAAGGCCCTGCTTGCCTGCCTCCGCCTCCCCCCTCCGCCCGCTGGCGCGCTGCGCACCCGCGGGCTGGCCAGGACGCCGCGCGCGGCGCCGACCACCGAGCAGGGCGGGCTGTCCTCCGAGAAGCCCCCCCCGGCCGCCGAGAAGGGCCTGGCGCCCGAGTTCCATCTCCCCGGCCGCCCTCGCCGCCCGCGCCGCCCTCCCTCCCCCTGATCGGCTACGCGTAAGACTCCTCCTCCTCCTCCTCCTCCTCCTCCTCCTCCTCCTCCTCCTCCTGATACTGACGCTGCTGGCATCCGAATGCACGAAGAAGGGAGGGAGGATAAGATCGGCTACACGTAAGAGTGGCCCTTCGCCGGAGTGACCTCTGGTGCGGGCCCACGGCGGCCCCCCGATCGCCGAGTGCGGGGCGGCAGTGGCGTCTTGCGCGCTCGTGCTTGGCCCCCCCGCGGCCGCGAGAAGCTGCGCAGCGAAGGGCACTCCTTACCCGGGGTCGCTCATGCGTGTTTGGCCGACCTGTGACCTGGGCGTCGCAGTTCTGCGAGCTGGGCGTTTCTGCGGAAGCTCGGGCCCCTGGGTCCTCACAGATCGATCAGGCTCGAAGAATGCCACATCAGGGTGGGGTCGGGGCCTCCAGTCGTGATGTTTCGCATGTTGCATGTGTTTCGCGCCGTCAGATGTTAGGGTCTAGGCCTGTCAGATGGGGTCCGAGCAGATGGGGTCGGAGGATCGCGCCGCATCTGCGGTGCGGCTCGATGTGGGGCCTGATTTCCTTCACGCCGACGGCGCCGATGCATCACCGACGTCGCTCATGCATCGACGATGCGTCGGCGATGCAGCGCGATCCTCCAGCCCCATCTAGCCCCGTTTCGCAGGCCTCCAGTCCCTCGCCACGAGCGGAATGGGTCCCCCCCCCCGCCGCCGAGCAGGGCGACGCGCCCGAGCTCCATCTCCCCGGCCGCCCTTCCCGCCCGAGCCGCCTTCCCCGGGTCGGCTCCGCGGAAGAGTGACCTTTCGCTGGAGTGACCTTCCCAGACACCTTCGGGTCATGAAAAAATAACGACTTCAGGGTTACCTGAATCGTCGGCCTGTGGCGGGCCCTCACTGGGCCCAGGAACCGTCAAGAAACTACTCAGGGTGAAAATTGGTTCCGGGGAGTGGGTCAAAATTCCAGAGGGTCCACGTTATGATACACAAAAAACATGATGTCGGGGGTCTGGGTTTGGTGCGGGGTCGCAGGGGTCCCCCCAGCATTGGCTTGCGCGTTTTGATCTGGCCCCTCCCACATCGGGTCGAGGCAGATGGCGTCGGATGATCGTGCCGCATCACCAGTGCGCCTGCGGTGTGGCTGGATATGGAGCCCGATTTTCTCCACGCCGACGGCTCCGATGCATCGCCGACGTCGCCGATGCATCGCCGAGGCATCGGCGATGCGTCGGCGATGCAGCAGCGCGTTCATCGGTCCCCATCTTCTCGGACCCCATTTAGGAAGCCTCTAGATCGTCGGCTAGATCGTCGGTTGCGCGTAAGAGAGGCATTTCGCTGGAGTGACCTTCGGGGCGGGCCGCAGGGGTCCCGCCATGCCCCGCCAGCTCCCGCTGTCGCGCTTCGATTGCTGGGATGTGGCTCCCATACTGCGGCCCCCGTGAAGCAGCGCACCAAGGGTGACTCCTGCCAAGGGTCACTCTTGCGTGTGGCTGAGATCGGCTGCACGTGAGAGCCCCAGGTCGGACGAAAGGGTGTGCTTGGGAGAGGGGGCGGGAGGCGGCATCCTCAGATCTCCGGCGACACGAGGCTTTCAGTACTGGCGCTGCTCTTCGGCCTCCAGGGCTCCAGGGCTCCGCACCCAGGACGCAGGACGAAGCTCACAACCCCCTCGGGAGAGGGGGCGGGAGGCGGCATCCCCAGATCTCTGGCGACACGAGGCTTCCAGTCCTGGCGTTGCTCTTCGGCTTCGGCCCCCAGGGCTCCGCATCCATCCAGGACGCAGGACGAAACTCTGGGGTCGTGGACTGAACACGTCACATCGCCGGACGTCCGAAGGTGCGACACCTGCTACATGCTGCCTGGCATCGCTCGGACGTGTGCATTTTTCCGTCGGCAAGGACCATCGAGGAGCATTCTTGATCATTTGGCGAAAAAACCACGCACGAAACCAAAAAAAAACACAGGAAATGGACGTCCGAGCGATGGCCAGGCTGCTGGTTTGGGCACCGCCGCTGGGCGCCTCCGGCGCCAGGAGGCACCGGAGAAACCAGCTGCACGCGAGCCGATTTGCCAGCGCCCCTTTTCACTGGCTTCCCCTCGTCCATTCGTCGTCCGACCCGAGAGCCCTCCGGCGTCCTCCTTCTCGTCCAGTTTCCACGCTCCAGGGGCTTCCTCGCCGCCACAGCTGGGACCCCTATCGGAATCCTGCCCAGAGCGCACCCCAGGACGGCTCCGCCATTTTCGGCTTGAAGGGGCCTTTGCCGGGCCCCTGGACCGTCAAACAAGAACGATCGAGAGGAGAGACGGTCTGCGGGAAGTTGTCGTGAGGTCTGGGGGCCCCGGATCGAAAACATGTCCTCGGATGCTTGAGAAGGGGGAGGACGTTGTCTTCCTCCTCCTCCTCCTCCCCTCTTTCTCCCCCCGCTCTCCTTTCTCTCCCGCCCTCCCTCCCCTCCCGGGAACACACGACGGCATCGCAGGTCTGGGACTAAGTCGGGCCCGTCCCTCTACAGGAGGAGTACTCAAAAGTAGTAAAAAATAGCCTGGGGACTATTTTTTGAGTATTTTCAAAGATCAATTTTGGAATATGTTTGAGGTGTTCTTTATTTTTCGTCCAAATTCCCCCTGTAGGGGGACAGGCCCGACCTAAATTTCGGATCATCGGCAAAAGGCACGCAACAGTCAAGCTGATTCGAGGCGTCGGCGTCCCGAGAATGGTGCTCTGGCACGCTTCAGGGTCTTCAAACGGCTGTCTCAGTGGAAGCGAGCCCTCGTGTGGGAGCCTGGCGTATAGGGGCACAGGCCCGCCCTGAGCCTTTGGCAGCAGTGGCTCCTGGTGCGAGGCCTGCGGGGGGTGGCGCGGGAGGGCCGGGCCCGAGCACGCGGGCGGTTGCGGCCGCGGGGCAGGCAGAGCTCGCGGCAGGCCGCGCCCAAGAGGTCCCCTTTTGCCCAACTAGGGCCGCTCCTCCTCCTCCTCCTCGTCTTCCTCCTCCTCCTCCTCCTCCTCCCCCTCCTCCTCGCCCTCCTCCTCCTGCTCCTCCTCCTCCTCCTCCTCTTCCTCCTCCGCCTCCTCCTCCTCGTCTTCCTCCTCCTCCTCCTCCCTCCTCCTCTCCCCCTCCTCCTCCTCCTCCTCCTCTCCTCCTCCTCCTCCTCCTCCTCCTCCCCCTCCTCCTCCTCCTCCTCCTCCTCCTCCTCCCTCTCCTCCTCCTCCTCCTCCTCCTCTGCCTCCTCCGCCTCTGCCTCCTCCGCCTCTTCCTCTTGACCCCACCCTCGCCGATCAACGGTTCAGGCAACTCGATGGACGGCGGAGGTAGGAATCGGGATTCGTCGAACACGTGGTGGAATCAGGACCCTGCCCTCGCCTCCCATCGGTTCAAGACGATCGATGCTTGGCGGGCGCAGGGTTCGGATGTCGCCACCTACCAAAGGTCGCCCTTGCCTGATTAGGGGCGCTCTCGCGTGCAGCCGCCTCCCCTCGGATCCGGGCGTCGCAACAGAAGAGCGTCGTGATGCCGGGGGAAGGAGACGCGACACCACCACCAGGGAGGCCACCTCCAGCGAGGAGTTGCGCGATGCTTCCCCGAGCTTGGGGTAGGGGACGTCTGGAGCGAGAGGTGGGGAAACTGCACCACCAGGGAGACCCCGAGATCTGGTCTCTTTACAACCCGAACGACCCTTCACAACTGAGATAGGTCACTTCACAACCAGCAGAGAATCGAATTCCTTGGTTCCCCTTTGAGAACGACTACTTTACAACCAGAACGGTCCACTCTACAACCAGAGCGATCACTTTACAACCCAGACGGGGCTCTTTGCAACCAGAACGGCCACTTTACAACCAGCCTTCAGAAGCGCGCGCGCGCTCTGCAGGGCCTTCTGAAGCTTCTGAGCGCCTGGGCGGTCTGAAGAGGCATCTGAGCGCCTGGGCGCTCTGCCGAGGCATCTGCGCGCCTGAGCGTCTAGTTGGGGCTTATGAGCGCCTGGGCGCTCTGCAGAGGCATCTGAGCGCCTGAGCGTCTTCCAGAGGCTTATGAGCGACTGGGCGCTCTGCAGAGGCTTCTGCGCGCCTGGGCGCTCTGCAGAGGCTCCTGAGCGCCCAAGCGCTCTGCGGAGGCTCATGAGCGCCTGGGCGCTTCGCGGAGGCTTCCGAGTGCCCGAGTGCTCTGAAGCTTCTGCAAAGCGAGAGCACAGACTGTTCGCGAGGCCGCAACATACGTTGACTAGAATTCAACCAGAATTACCCGGCCACTTTCCTTCCTCTTGGGTGCGTATGCTTCCGCAGTTGCGCAAGCATGCGGTTTTGCGATTGCCGAACGTTGGGGTGCGAGGACAAGCGTGGTCTATGAGCTATAAAATCCAATTTGAAATCTATAGGTATTGGCTGGCGTATTGCAAAGGATCTCTTGGCCACATTTGTGCATGGCTGGGTGCGCATGCTTCCGCGAATGCGAGAACATGCGGTTTGCGATTGCCAGACGACGAAGCGCGAGCACGAAAGTTTTCTGTGAGGCCAAAAACAACAAATTGGCATCCACACGAATTGGCTCGAATGTTACCATCGGCTTCTTGGCCACATTTCCCTCCCTCCTGGGCACACATGCTCGCAACTTCGAAAACATACTGTTTCCGTGGTTGTCGGACGATGGGGCGCGTGGACAAGCATCGCCTATGATACAACAAACACGCAATTTGAAATCCATATGTATTGACCAGATTGTTACCATCGATGTCGTTTCCACAGTTCCGCCCTCCTGGGTACGCATGCGACCGCGTATGCGAAAACATACGGTGTTGCGATTGCCAAGCGATGAGGCGCAAGGACTCGAGTTGTCTGTGAGGCCAAACGCGCAAATTGAAATCCACACGTATCAGCCAGAGCTGTAGCATCGATTTCTTGCCCACTTGTTCTGCGCTCCTGGGTACGCGTGCCTCCGCAGTTATGAGAACGTAGTGTGTTTTGCTATTGCC